TTTCAGTCGTCGAAGCGATGGCAAGATTGCAAAGGGGACCTAGTAAGCTGCGTGCAATTTTTCGTTAATCTATAGAAAGGACGATTGCGCTGTATTGGTAGTGTACATTATCAAATTGTGATCGCAAAGAAAGTTTAGTTTTAATTGAGGCGGTTTGAAAAGAGACAACGTATTTTTTTATGGGACATGTGGTACCCTTGGAGGATGAAAACGTGTAGACCTCGATAAACGATGCCCACCTCAATGGTCCACCTGCATGAACCACTGCACCTGCCGTTGTGAGCCTGCTGGATCCACCACCTCCATGGCCACAATAACTTCTCCTTGAGCTGCTCGAGCCTCAAGGGCCTGACTCGAGCCTGCGACGTCTCCAGGGACCACCGATGGACTCCCTAAGCCCAAACAGTACGTGGTATCGAGGTCATTGGGGTCTGAGAAGGTCTTGAGAAACCCGGAGGTAAGCCTGCTCCGAACGGACGCATGTTCGGCCACACATCATCAAAATTCTACTCCAAGTTATGGTGAACATACCTTTTCAAACGAAAGTCCCCACACACGGCGCCAAATGGTATCAAATGCCTCCGACCGGCTGGTAAAGGCTAGAAACGTCTCGATCTCAAGAAAACCTCCGGCTGAACATCCTTGAACTTGCAGAACTCTTACACCTTATGGGGTCTCCGGTGAAGACCTTCGATATTTAAATGAGTACGTGTAGAAAATGAAGTACATAGAAAGGTCTTTGTATAATAATGTGTAATAGAGACTATAATGTAATACAAGGCATATCTCGCTCCATTATATAGGAGAATGATACCTTGTTACCCTAGATGAGTGAGTGAGCACTTGCTGCTGTGGGCGCGTGAGCCATCTGGGCTGTCAGAGCTACTCAGGCTGTCAGAAACGATTATGAGGCATAGACCAATCAGATGATGCCACATTGTTTTATCCATGTGAGGGTTTTAATTCCTCCAAGATTCTTTCTAATCCTTTTACCTTCTTCATTAGAGGGTCTAAACGTGCTTTTGACCCCGACAACCTCGAGGTGGGGTGCCATCACTATTGAGCTCCCCTGTCATGTCTATCTGGTCGATCCTTGGACCAGGTGGTCCTTGAGGTACACTTCAACCAGGCTCACCAAGATCCTCTATTCGACCTGTTGGCATCGTTCTCGTCGTTGATGACCTCTTCGACCTGAAGGTCTTTCGACCTGTGGAGTCTTCGTCCTCCCTTTGACGTGATGGTAATTAATCCAGTTAGCCTGGTTGCCCTTCCACTCTAATCGACCGAGTATGGTTATCTCATATCAGTTGGAATGAGGAAAAAGTGAAAAGCTCTTAACATAAGATAATATTTGACGACGTGTGGCTTCTCGAATCCTGGCTACCACTTTCGATTCAATTCAAAAATTAATAATAAAAATACAAATTATTGTATTAACTTTTTTTTTACAAAAAAAAAAAAAAAAAAAA